TCTACTGCAACTCCCTCTTCGACCTGCTCAACGGCCGCACGCCGGTGGTTGTGCGGGAGGATCACAACCGCCGCGTGAATGTGTGCGGCCTCTCGTGGCACCCGATCAGCTCCACGCAGGCGCTGTGGGCGCTCATCAACAGCGGCACCGAGCAGCGCCGCACCGGCAGCACGAGCGCCAACGAGCAGTCGAGCCGCTCGCACGCGGTGCTGTCGATTCAGGTGCGCCGCTGCGACGAGGCGGTGTTCTGCGGGACGCTCAACTTCGTCGACCTCGCGGGGAGCGAGCGCGCGGCGGACACCGCGACGCATGACAAGCAGACGCGGCAGGAGGGGGCGGACATCAACAGGTCGCTGCTCGCGCTCAAGGAGTGCATACGCTCGCTCGACGAGAAGAAGAAGCACGTGCCGTTCCGCGGCTCGAAGCTGACGGAGATACTGCGGGACAGCTTCATGGGGAATAGCCGCACGCTGATGATCGCCAACATCTCTCCCTCGTCTAGCAGCTACGAGCACACGCTCAACACACTGCGGTACGCGTTCCGCGTGAAGGGCCTCAGCGTGGCCTCCGTTGTGCCGAGCAAGGCGCGCAACGCCCCGCGCCCGTTCCGCCTGTATGCCGGTGATGGGGCGCAGAACCAGCAGCAGCAGCAGCAGCAGAATGAGCAGGCTGTCAAAACACCATTGATGGACGTCGCACGGGGAAAAGCGCGAGCGGACTCCGCACTNTGTGCCGAGCAAGGCGCGCAACGCCCCGCGCCCGTTCCGCCTGTATGCCGGTGATGGGGCGCAGAACCAGCAGCAGCAGCAGCAGCAGCAGCAGCAGAATGAGCAGGCTGTCAAAACACCATTGATGGACGTCGCACGGGGAAAAGCGCGAGCGGACTCCGCACTCGCGAGGCGTATGCGCAGCCAGACTCTACCGCCGACCGTCGCTCGCTCCCGTACGCCCATCTGCGAAACCCCTAGCGACGCCGGCGTAAATGGCAACAGCCGAAGCGATATGTGCACTGCGTACCTCCGCGAATTGGCGCAGGAGAAGTTGCTGAAATTGCTCCCACATCGCAGGTCAAGGCTTAGAGAGGCGGAGGAGGGGGCTGCGGCTGCTGACAGCGGTGACAGAGTGGGGGACGGCACCACGGCCCCAGTGGAGCGGGTGCAGCTGAGGGAGCTGCAGGAGCTTATAGTGAAGCAGCTACGACACGAGTTCCAGAGGCATTTAACGCGCACTTCACAAAGTAATGATCGCCTGGTCAACAAACTGAGACAGGAGAACGTGGAGCTGCGGGCATCAATTGCCGCGCTTGAGAAGAGGGCGGCACAGTGCCCATTGTGCAAGGAGCGCGTGGGAAGGCAGGAGCTGCGGTAGCTGTCTCGCGCTCTATTTTATTCTGCGCTTCATGTGTGTGTGTCTGTGTGTGTGTGTGTGTATAGGGTGGGCGATGCCCTGCTGCCAACAGACTGGCGATGTAATCGTTGAAGGGACGGATAGAAAAAAAGGCCACGTTGTGCTCGCTGCTGGTTGCGGCTGAGGAACCGAAGAAAAACATGAGGCTTCTTTTTGTTTTTTTTTCTCTATTTAAACACAAAAAAGTCGGGAGGCGCCTCCGCAGAAAGACGAGCTTTCGTACTGTGCGCTGGAGGCGAAGACGGAGTTGACTCCACGTCGTTCCCACCCGTCGGCGTTGGCGCGCTGTGGTCTGATTCTTTTCGCTGGCGGGGCCCAATGCCGCGGCGCTTTCTTTTTGTGTTTTTGTTGTGTGGCTGTGTGTGTGTGGGGGGGGGCGCCATAGAGGGCAGCAGTGACAACTTGACTTATGAGGGGGCACCTGCGTTTTGATTCACACGGTCCGCGCGACGCAGTTTTTGTTGTGCTCCTCCACTTTCCTTGCGTGCTGGACCATCGCGAGCGGAGCCGCAGACATCTGCTCTGTTGCGGGGGCCTCGTGGGTGTGCGGTGCGTTGGCTGGCGGGCAGTTGCCAATGCGTTGTGCTTAAGTGCATCCACGCGGCATCACACACGCACAGCATATATATATATATATATATATACGTATCTATACATTCACACATGATATTATTAAGAAATGCTAACAGTGAGGGCATCGTGTGGACTGGGCTTCCCGTCCCCTCTCCACGCCCCTCGCGTGGGTGCATCTCCCGTTGCTGTCGTCACGTGCCTCCCTTCCTCCCTCCCCTGCGAACGTCTTTCGCCTCTCTGTGTTGTCTCTTTGCAAGTGCGCCGAATGCCGAGCAGTACCGCGGGCAAGGACGAGTGGCTGGTGGCGCTGCAGCTGTTCCTCAACGTGCGGTTGCGCACCGCATCGTTTTCGGCGGCGTCGCGCGGCCGCCCACAGGTGTGCGTCCCGCTGCCGCTGCCCAACACGCAGCATCTTATCGACGGCGTCATGTGGAGCGTGCGGGATAACGCGGCGTGGGCGGCCGACGCGTGGCTAGGTGTTCAGAGTCACCTGCTCAGCTGCTCACAGCGCTACGCCCAGCTCAGCGAACGGCTTCTCCACGCTAACACGCACGACGCGGCGGTCGAGCACGAGCGGCTGTACTCCAGCCACGCGTGTGTGCAGGATGTCTACATCGCCTTCTGCGTCGTGGACGCGTTCCTGCGCCACGTTGGCGAGGCGGTGCCGGCGGTGAAAGAGGCGGCGGAGAAGGAGCTGCCGCGCCTCGTCGCGGAGCACATGCCCATCTGGCAGCTGGCACGTAGCAGCTACGCACATGACGCGGTGGAGGACTACCGCCTGCTGTTCCTCGATCTGCTGCGCGCGTGGGCGGCGACACGGCTTCTGCGCCCCGACACACACCGCCGTGTGGAGGAGTACGTGCGCCACAAGCTCAAGACGCTACGTGACGGGCTCGCAAGCGCTGATTCCCCCACTGGAGGGAGCAACAGTAATAACCATCACACCGAACATCATACGGCTACAATCAGTGCAGGGCTGCGTGCTCTAATGTCGGGCGCCACAACGTCATCTGCATCTGCGCTCTCGTCAGCAGCAGCCGTAAAAGGAGCAGCAGCTTCTACACCAGACGCGGTACGCATGACCATTGCAAACTTTGTGTCTGCCATCTTCCCGCACCCTCGCTCTGAGTCTGGCAGACAGCGTTGCGCCCACTGCGGTTCGGTGCTGAAGAGCGTCGCCGCGAAGAACGCCCACTACCGCTACCACTTCTACAACCGCAGCTACCAGACGGAGGAGAAGATTGTGCGCCTGGCGTACCCCTCTCTTGACGACTACGCGATTCACGATGTGGACAGCGGAGAGACGGGCAACTTCGTCAGGACAACGGAGAACCTTCTCGATGTCTTCCGCGCGCCGGAGAAGCGGAGCGTGCGGGTGCGGCGACCAAAACAAGCGGACAAGCCGTCGTGAAGTCGTTGTGTTTCCTTTTCGTTTTGGTGCTGTTGTGTGTCTCGCTTCAAGAATCTCTAATACGTACGAGCTGTTTTGGTAAAACGTTGCGCTCTACGCATAAGAGGACGTTGCGCCCCTGCTCCGCCCCATGTGTGGGTGCATCCAACACCTCTCTTCTACGCGTTGTGCAATGGCAAGCTAGAGTAGCGATGTGGTGCACACGTTTACGGCGGCGGAGTGCGCTGGCTGTGCTTGGGCTCGACGAGAACGCACGGCACACGGAGGAGGAAGTGAAGGCGGCGTTTCATCGCAAGGTGAAGAAGCTGCACCCCGATGCCGGTGGGAGTGCGGAGTGTTTCCGCGAGCTCCGCAATGCATACGACTCACTGCGGCACAGCAATAAAGGCGGCGCTGGCACCACCGTCCGATCGGAGGGGGACGATGAGAGCAGCGCATTCTACAACAACGCGCACTCCCGCTGGTCTGCCGACCGCGACGCTGATGGTGGACTCGGTGCTGCCTTTGCAAGTGATGCTTCCAGCGACTACAACAACAACAGCAGCAGCGGGGTGAACAGCTCCACCCGCGACTTCTACCGCCCGTACACGTCCAACCCATTTTCGCACGGCTTTACGGCCGAGGAGGTGCAGGAAGCCGAGCGACGCAACCGTTTTCGCCTGGCTCGGCTACTGCTGAAGCACGGGGTGCTGTGGGGCGGCCTGGTGTACTTTCTCGTCGTGTACTACCGCGAGAACCGCATTCATCGCGCCATCGTCGCTCGCAATGATGGTTACGCGGACGGGGCATACTGGGCGAAGCTGAGCGACGACCACGTGCGCGGACTCACCTGGTCGACGCGGCCGCACTGGACGGATCTGCAGAGCGAGGAGTTCGTGCGCGCGTGGAAACGCAGCCTCGAGCAACGGAAGCGGGCGGCTGGAGGCGGCGCCGGCGGTGGCGTCTACGCTGCACGGCCGGTGGCGCTGACATTTCAAGGCCGTCCGTTCACCGCGACGGGTGTGCGCGGGGCCCGCAGCGGCGTGACGAAGAGCAGCGCGACGTACGCGAGCGACGCGCACTACGAGCCGGACGATATGCTGGATGACTGAATGCGCCTCCCCTCTTCTGCCTGGTGGTGGTGGTGGGGGGAGGCGATGACGGTAGGGCGAGAATGGAGCCAAGATAGTTGCGTCGCGCTGTGCAACTTGTGTGCCTGCACGCTGGCGACGGGGAAGTAGTGAGTTATAAAGTCTGCGAGTCGTTGAGTCTCCTGCGTGACCATTGTGGTCCTTCTTTGAAAGCGAACAAACAAACAAAGAGAGAATACATCTGCCGCACCTCTCTCCTACCCGCCAACCCACTCCCCTCTTCTTCTGCGTCGCTATATCATTACGCTACTCCTTCTGTCACATAGAATCACTACAAGAAAGTCTAGCATTATTGTTTAGAGAGAGAGAGAGAGAGGGGGGGGATCTTAAGCGCCACAGCCGCCAACAAGAACACTGCCATAACTCAGCGAAACGCAACGAATATGAGCAAGAAGGGAGGCGCGCAGGTTAAGCGCTTTATTCAGGAGAATACGACTAAGCCCGATGCCCAAGCAGGAGAAGACAAGTGGTCGGCCAGCGAGGGCGGCAGTGTCTTGAGCTGGCTGGCGCAACGCGCACCACAGCAGCCGTCGAGGGGAGCGATCGACTACCTTAGCAAGGTCCAGCCAGCGGAAAAGTCGGCGTCTGGAAACCAAACGTCGCTGCCCAAGCCGCGCTCGCAACAGCAGCAGCAGCAACAAGCGGATACGGCGGCGGTGGAGAAACTAGCCCAGCTGTTTCCCGATAAGCAGACGGGTGCGACGAATGAGCAGCACGTTAGAGCGGGGGACACAGCTGTCGACGTGGGAGCAGAGCAGCAACAGCTGCAGCAGGCGACTGCCACTCGTTCACATCGTGGACGCAACCGCCGCGAGACCAAGGAGGAGCGTCTTAGGCGTCGCTTTGAGAAAATGGCGGAGGAGGCACAGAAGCGGCACGAGGAGGCACTGAGGACTGACCCAGAGTACATGAAAAAGTACCAAACGCTCCAAGAGCTGCAGGTGGCACAGCAGGTGGCACAGGATATTTTCGTTGAGCGGTACAGCCACCAGGAATATGTTAATATCAGCAGCGCTGTGAGCGAACGCCTAGACATTCCCGTCATTCTTGAACTCATTGAGAAGCACGATGTTGTCTTCATCTGCACCGATACCGGCAGCGGGAAGAGCACATCGATTCCAAAGGCTCTGCTGGAGCTGTCCAACGACACACGTGTCGTCAGCACACAGCCCCGCCGTACGGCCACCGTCTCCATCGCGTCACGGGTGGCAGAGTTGCGGCGCGAGAATGTAGGCGAGGATGTAGGCTACTGGATACGCGGCGACAAACGGGGCGATGACCAAACGCGTCTGTGGTACATGACGAGCTATACACTGCTGCTGCACCTTCTCAACAACCCGCTGAATCCGCCCTTCACACATATTGTGCTTGACGAGTTCCACGAGCGGCAGCCTGACATTGAGGTGACGGTCGCGCTTCTGCGCCTCTGCCTTTTGAAGGGGACAGCGAAGTTCAAACTCATCCTCATGAGCGCCACGCTCAATACTGAGGACTGGGAAGACTACTTCAAGAATCTCAAGGTGGCGTCATATAAGCAGAGTGAGCCGGAGCACCCGATTCACGACTACTTTATGGAAGACATATGTGCATTGACGGGGGTGGAGTACCGCGGTCCTTCGAACGTGCACGAGCACATTGTGGACTTTTCACTCCTGGAGAAGCATATGTTTGTGGCGCAGGGTCTTCTCTTGTACCTCAATGCGTACACTGACCCGCAACACGCCGTGCTGGTGTTCCTGCCTGGCCGCGCGCAGGTGGAGCAGTTTCAGATGTGGTTGCAGACAAACATGAGAAAGCCGGTGGACGTTGTGCCGTGGCATAGCGCCGTGGATCTTTCCATCATTGAAGATGCGATTCGTCGCCGTTCGCCGTACCGTCAGAAGATCTACCTGGCTACAGACATCGCAGAGGTGTCGATTACGTTGCCTGACGTTGTGTTTGTGATTGATCTCGTGGTGGTGAAGCGTCCCAAGATAAACAAGAATGATACGGCGACGGTGCTGCACCCACCGCTGGTGACGCAGTGGATCTCGAAAGGCAGCGTTGCGCAGCGTCGGGGCCGGATTGGCCGCGTGCAGCAGGGCTTCTACTTTTGCATACTGCCGTCTGCTTCAGTGGCGGGCCTTCCTGACCACGCTGACCCGCCCATTGAGAACTCCCGCATTGACGAACTCTCCTTGCACTGCTTGCAGCTCGTGTCAAACCCTGTCGCGATTTTCAGTATCTGCCATGGGCAGCCTCTGGTGGAGACCATCTCGGCCTCGATGCAGACCTTGTCGCAGCTTGGCTGCATCGTGAACAGCAGGGACCCTCTCGCAGCTGGTGAGCGCATCGCGGAGATACACTCCAACAGCGAGTGGAGCCCGCTGGTGCTCGAGGAGGCCAAGAACGCCGTGCTTGCGGAGATCGACACTTATGAGTACACCTTTATTGGCCGCATTCTACAGCTCATTCCAGTCTCGCCGCAGCCCGGCATGCTGGTGTTCTACGGCTTCCTGACAGGACTTGAGTCACTGATGATTCTCGCCGCTGCGGTGACAAGTAGCCTCTCGCCGTTTACATCCACCCCGCTGGACCAGAAACGGCACAAGAGGCAGACAGCGGTGCGAGCCATGGAGGAGACAGAGAATGAGATGCGCGACATGTGCTGTGGCCTTCGCAGTGATATTGTGGCGGTGATGAAGGCGGTGCTGCGTTTCCGCGTCTGCCTCGGCGAGTGTGGCGATGACGTGGCGCCTGTGCGGCAGTGGTGCGTCGACCACCACCTGAGCCACGACAAGCTGAAGGGCATCCTGGACCTCGAACAGCACATCAAGTACGAGCTAGCAAACTTCATTCCGTTCCGCGACGTGGTCGATGAGCAGGAGCTTCTCGCTCAGCTGGAGAAGGTGGCGCCCATCGTGCTTGTCATGACAAACGTCGCCTTCGTTGCCCAATCGCTTGAGGTGACGACGGAGGGCAACACGTACACGAACTCCAAGGAGTCCGCTGCTGGGCTTTTCAGCGACATCGTCGCGGTACCGGACATCCACTCTCCCAGCTGTCTGCGCTGGCAGGAGGGCGACATCGTGGTGCCGGTGCAGGTTTCGCTCATCCCGAACAGGGCGCTCGCCAGCTTCTCCACAGCCATCGCGTCGCACAAGCAGTTCTGGCTCTCTCTGCTATTGCTGACACACCGCCTGAAGTACGCGACATTCGCCGATGAAGACGGCGCCTTCTGCGTCTTCGCGGTGAAGTACTACGACACGGAGCGCTACCTGGAGACAGACGCACAGACAGGCTACTCGGTGCTGCTCTTCCGACAGCAGCTCAGTAGCGTGTGCCAGACTCTGCGGCTGCTGCATGACCATCAAGACATGTACGACGATGATTTTGTGGAGTTGCTGAAGCGGCATGAACTCAAGCCGCTACAGGCGGCGCAGCGCGAGGTCATCACGACAATGGCTGCCTTTTTTAACAATACAGACAACATCACGGTTGACGCTGTTGTACACGACGACGACGACCTGGATGAGGTTTCTATGATCAGCCTGGCGCTGCCAAAACCGAAGGATGCCTGATTTATGTGTGCACACCCAGGTGCTCACACTCGGAGGCAAATGCATGCAGTGGAGCAAAGGTTTAATTGCTGTGGGGTCTTTCGGTTCTTCTTGGCACTATTTAAAGAGAATTAAGTCTGCTGATTACACGATGGTATTGCTCTTGTTTCCTCTTGTACCGCGCTCTGCATGTGAGCCACAACATACATCACTTTTTTTCTCTTGTTGCTGCCTTTTTTGTTCGGTGCTTGTTTCTTTTCTGCTCGCTCTGTGTGTATGCATGTTTGTTCTCCGGTTCTGAGAGGCGGGCATTCGTACGGAATACGAGCGAAATATATGAAGTCATCAGCGAGAAAGCGCGTGCGTGAGGAGGCAGGCACAAGCCCCAAGGTACGGCCCCCACGTGGGCCACACGACGTTTTTTTCAAGTGGCTGCTCGGCATAACGCAGCGCGATTTCTTTAAGCAATACTTTGAACAGAAGCCACTGCACGTCTCGCACGGCACGGCGGCTCACTTCACGAACCCGCCGGCGGGGCTGCCAGCCGTCGAGTGGTCGACAGGCATGATGCTGCGGCTCGTGGCGGAGAAGACGTTGTCGTACACCGCGGATGTTAATGTGGTTCGCTTCGACAAGGCGCAGAACAAGCGTGTGCCGTACTGCGTGGAAGGCGTTGTGACGGCGAAGGAGATGCGCAAGTGCATGGAGCCCCATGGATGGTCCGTGCGGTTCCTGCGCCCACACGAGCACGTCGCAACAAACTCTGCCCTCATTTCGGTGATGGAAGAAATATTCGGATGCTACTGCGGTCTGAACAGCTACTGGACAGCGGCAGGCAGCCAGGGATTTGCTCCACACTACGACGACGTGGACGTCTTCCTGCTGCAACTCGAAGGGGAGAAGGAGTGGCGCCTCTACGACCCACCGGAGGCGGTGGACGTGCTGAGCCGCCACTCGAGTGAGGATTATGTACCACAGCAGCTGCCGCAGCCGACTCAGACACTCTGCCTTGTGCCAGGCGACGTGCTCTACATGCCGCGCGGCACGGTCCACCAGGGGCGTACCTTCGACCATACCCACTCCCTTCACGTGACGTTCTCCGCAAACCAGATGAACACCTGGGCGGATCTTATCAAGTGCGCCGTGACACACGCAGCTGAGAAGCTGGCGGCGAACCATGTCGCCTGGCGCACGTCGCTGCCGAGGTGTCTCCTCAAGACGTTGGGCGCCGTGCACCACCCAGTGTTCCGCGCTGACAGTGGCGTTGCGCCCCTGACGGAGAAGCAGCAGAGGCAGAGGCGCATACTGCAGACCAAGTACCGTGAACTGGCCGCAGAGCTGTCCCTTTACGTGTCAAGCGAGGCGTCCATCGACGAGTGCTGCGATTTGTACGCGCGCGACACGGTGGCGAAGCTGCAGCCGCCCCTGCGAGTTTCCACTGCCGCACACGCGGAAGGACGAATCACTGGCGACACAGTCGTGCGGCTTGTTTCTTCTAACTGTGCACGTGTGGTGCTTGATACGGCAGGTGAGGCGCAGGTGTACCACAGCTGCGGCAACTCGCCTGTGTGCCTTGAGCAGCCCGTTGGACTTCTGCGCTTCGAGTTGGACTTTGCGCCCGCACTCGCCACCATCATGTCGGCGTCTGCGCGTGGTGTGTGCGCGTCGCAGCTTCCGTTTCCTGCCTTCGACAATGCCGACGACATTCAGGCAAACCAAGTAACGCTGGTGAAGGCCCTCCTCGACGCGGGCATTATTGTAACGGTTTAACCGGTCGCTCTTCTGAACCTACATGAATATTGTGTGTAACACCTAAGCTTCTGCGATGACTTGTTGGTGTGCCTCGGATACCGCAAGTAGCATTGCTGCGTTGTACTCTGTGCCTCTGCACACAGCGACAGAATGTGAGCGCGCAAAAATAAAAAGCCCACATATAATATATATATATATATTTTTTTTTTTTTTCCTTTTCATTCTGGTTCTTCTTTGCTGTTCCTTTTCGTCAGCTGTGTACGCGCATTGAATAGAATAATGAATGTGGACGTCATTGACGCGACGGCCGAGGCGCTACCGCTGGAGCTGCTGAACGCGACAAACAAGGAGCTGACGGCGCAGCTCTCGCGGCACGAGGAGCTGTGCGACGAAAAGGCACGCGAGATCGAGGATCAGCGGCGGCGACTGCAGTTCGTGAAGGAGCACCTCGGCAACGTGCGCGGGGAGATTGTGAACACCCAGAGCCTCGTGGAGTGCAAGCGGCGCGAGGTGGAGTCGGAGACGCACATGTACCGCCTGCTCGACCGTGAGTGCGGCCGGCTGCAGCAGGAGAAGACGCGCATGGCCGCGGAGCAGGCGGAGGTGCATGAGCAGCTGCAGGCGGTGCAGAACCGCATATTTCAGGAGAACCTGCGCATGGCGGAGCTGAAGGGCACCATGGAATTCAACCAGGACGAGCT